GCGTTTAAATACAGACAACATAGGGTAGGACTATTACAGTGCCTACTTATAATCTGATTTTTTGGGGCTTTCCGTTTCCCCCCAGTTACATACTTAACTAACCTCCCTGCCCCCCCAGTCCCTAGTTTAAACTTGTGTACTTGCGTTCCAGTTATGTCCATCCCAGGATATTAGCATTAGTTTACCAGACTGACATCTATTTGCTCAGTCATAATGCATAACAATCCTTAAAGGAAATCTTAATGAAACTCAATCAGCTGTGATTTGTTGTTTTATTGCAAAAGCTACATTTTAATCATTAAAAATTGCAAATGTTAAATTTGTTTGCAATATTTTGATCACCAGCCAGCATAGTAGGGCTGTTATCTTGGCATATGAGTGTTCAGCCTTTGGACCTGGGGTGTCTGGGCATCTCCTTTGATTAATTCACCTGATAAAGGGACAGTTACTGCTTCATTGCATGTCAGGTTCTGGGTGTGTCCTTAGCGTATGGATAAATGCTGTCCACACTTGGAAAGGTACTCAAAATTTGGGCCAAATGCACAGGAGCCCAGAACTGCCCCCTCCACACACATACCACACACAATTGCACACATACACAATGTCTCACACACTTTCTTCAAATCTGGTATTGGGGCTTGTCGGTCTGTAAAATTAGCTCACCACAGAAACTTACTCACTCTGCATATGCAACTGGTTTGATTTTACTTGTTTTTACTCTCTGCTCTTTGAAGAGTTAGTGTCAATATGAAACAATGTTTATGAACATATGGGATGCAGTATTTCATGTTTTCATGTTCCAATACAGGATGATCCTATATTATGTGGAATGGGTGGCAACCCTACCTGTACTTGTTCTGTAGAAATGGGAAATAAAGCTTCTTTTCATTTCATTGCACTGCATTTGCTCCCTTGACACCTTGGCCTGGTTCTTGCCTTCCAGGTGGGCGCATCGGCCTTGCTGTTAATGCTGAAGCTGTTCCAGACCTCCTTCCCAGTGATATCACCACAATGGTAGGGACATGCCTGCATGTAATATGTGCAAAGTGCACATTTTATATGACACCATATTTACTATATACACGCATGCTCCTTGTTTTGTGGTATGGTGCTGCTGACTGCTACAGCTCTGTATAGGGGGTACGCATGTGCTCCCCATGTGTACACAGTATCCTCAGAGTTCTCGGTCTGGGGTGGATGCTAAACACAGATGTTCTCAGTTCTGTGGATTATTCTCTTATGCACACAAGTAATATATCCTGTCATGGAGCACAGAACACTCAACAGCTTTGATTTACAAGCTCATCGTCTGCAGCTCAGGTGAATCCTCTCTTTCTGTCTCTGTCTGTCTGTGTGTCTGTCTCTCTCTCTTCCTCTCATTTATCAGGTGGACACAGACTTCCTGTCTGTGCAGCTTAGCTTTGACTGCAGCTCACCGCAGATTCTAGATGGAGGACTAAGATACCTTCAGGTGACCCCATAGCCTTGAACTCCTCAAGGATAAAGTGAATAGAGCCCAACCCCCCCCCCCCCAACTCATTACTGCTTCCCTACTAAGTCTTATGTGCAGCTGGTGAACTTGTTACAGTTTTAATTCATTAATCATTCTTGCAATGGACATATTGCACTCAAAGAAACCAGATAATATGTTTACCTTTTAGAAGAGACAGAACCCATAGCACTTTGAAAGCCCAAAAGGGTAGGATTGTCATCCCCAGTCAGTCAGCCACACCTGCTACTCATTCCTGACCAATCAGTATCTCACATTGCCCAGGAACCCCTACCACTTTGGTTGATCATTCTTCCACCACAACAGTTTGTCATAAGTTTGTTGTTTATGTGCAGATCAAAAGGGCACCACGCACCTGTCACCTAGTTAAGAGATGCCTAGATCCTTAACTATTGGCCATGCAGTAATCTTCCTCCCAATCTATTCTGCAGAAGATCAGCAATCTCCCCATTCTAATCTACCAACTGGACATCCAGAACTGTCCATCAGAAAGAGGCCAAAACCTTAAGCCCCTTACTGGCATTCTCCAAGGTAGCATCTTCCCTAATCCCAGTGTATCATTGGCTCAGGAAGGTCAAAAATGAACATCAACCAATAGGAAATTGTCATGCAGATCAATTATTTTTTTGTAGTAGAAAGTAAGGATTGGAAAGTTTAATAATCAGAAGTGCTTTAGTCTGGGTTACACCTTCATATCTATCCTTATGTAAGTGACAGTATAACAACTATATAACTATAGCAAGGGCAATATGGTCAAGGCCATGTCGCAGATATGTAGAGATGTTATAAAAACACTAGGATAAGAAATGAGTGCTAGGACTAGCAGCTAATATAAAAGCCATTAAGATAATCTAAAACCCCTCAGGATAACTATTTGCTGTGTTGATCACATTGTGTGTGTGTTTGTGTGTGTGTGTGATTCTGCAGCTCTGAAGAACTTGGACTTTCAGATACTAGGCTGTGATGTCGTTGAGCTCTTTGACCAGCTAAGTGTTGATGAAAAGCCCAAAAGGTACTTGATGGGTAAAGTTCATTGCCCTAGAATATGCATGTTAATAATGCTGTTAATGCTAACCTGTTAGAAGTTGTGTTGCGATGCTCATTGTACAATTGCCAGCAACTCAAAATGAAGGCTGTGCAGTTGGTTCACTCTCTCTTTATTAGTGACTGAATACCACTTTGTTTCTGTAGTCATCAAATTACTCTATCGATCTCTCTAGCCAAACAGGTGAATTGGCTGAAACAAGAAGCACCGGCCTTTCTTCCTCCTACCAAAAAGTCTGGGAAAAGTTTGCCAACCAGACCCCATCTGAGAGAGACGAGTATCTGTTGGAGTCCTTTCCACAGGGGTTTCAGTGGGGCACCTCAAGTGAAGCCTTTAAGGTGGAGGGTGGCTGGACCGAGCACGGGAAAGGGGAGACCATCTGGGACCGTTTCACACATGATGGACATGCCTTTGGCAATCAGACTGGAGACGTGGCCTGTGACAGCTACCACAAGGCAGATTATGACGCCTTTCTCCTAAGGGGACTCCTCGTCAACACCTACCAATTCTCCATCTCATGGGCTCGCATATTTCCCTCCGGCCTCCGGGGGAGCCTGAGCGAGAAAGGGGCCCAGTATTATGACAGGCTGATTGACACGCTAATCCAGTCTGGGGTTCAGCCAGTAGTTACCCTGCACCACTGGGACCTGCCCCAGGAGTTGCAAGGTTATGGAGGATGGTTGAATGCATCCATTATCGAAGCCTTCAGAGATTTTGCTGACTTCTGCTTCTCCAGATATGGAGATCGTGTGAAGACCTGGAACACTTTCAGTAGTCCATGGGTGGTGAGCTATGCTGCATACGGCACAGGAGAACATCCCCCCATGCTGAAAGACCCAGTCTCCGGCTCCTACAAGGTCTGTCTCAATATTATCACAATTGAAAATTCAATGATACATTGAACATTATTCATTAAAGGCTGGAGGCTGGGGGGAGGGGGATTCAGAGTTACCTTTCAGCATTTGCTTCATTGAAAAAATCACTAATTGCCAAATTAAGAATTAAAGTTGAGTAGAAGAACAGTGATCATATAAGGGGGTCTTTGGACTCTGATGTTCTCTGTCTGATGTTCCATCTGAAAGGTCACCCACTACATGCTGAAATCTCATGCTGAGGCCTGGCACATTTACAATGATAACTATCGCCAGGACCAAGGAGGAAAGGTCGGCATTGCCTTAAACTCTGACTGGGCAGAACCCCAGGACCCTACCAAGCCTGAGGACATAGCTGCATCGGAACTTTACTTGCAGTTCATGCTCGGCTGGTTTGCCCACCCCATCTTTGTGGATGGTGATTACCCACCGAAACTTAAGAGTCAGGTCGAGCAGAAGCAACAGGAGTGCCCCTTGACTGCCCCAGCCATACTCCCCATGTTTACTGAGACCGAGAAGGAGAGGATCCGAGGGACAGCTGACTTCTTTGGGCTAAATCATTATACCTCCCGGCTAGTCAATGTGACACAGCATGGCTGCATCCCTGGTCCACAAGGTGTGGGGGACTTCCAGGAATACGTGGACCCTGCCTGGCCTACCACCACATCCAGCTGGATCTATTCCGTCCCCTGGGGGTTGCGTCGGGTGCTTAATTTCATAGCTGTAGAGTACACATCCTCTAGCAATATACCCATCTACATCACTGGGAGTGGGATGCCCACCCCAGCGAGTGGAGAGCTATACAATGATACTGAGCGAGTGGCCTTTCTAAAGGGTTACATTAATGAAGCTTTGAAAGGTCAGTTTTCACAGTCTGCTGCTAAAATTAGCCAAACAACTTCACTGTAATTCTAAATGGATATAGAATCTGGAAATTGAATGTGAATACTGATTTATTACAAACAAAGTGGCCATTTAAACACCATATCTTTTTGTCAATTTAAACAGCTATTCGACTAGATGGAGTGGATGTACAAGGCTTTACGGTGCAGTCACTAATGGACGGCTTCGAGGGCCCACATGGCTACAGTCAAAGGTTTGGCTTGCACTACGTTAACTTTGCCGATCCCAACAGGCCAAGAACTCCGAAGGCATCAGCCTACTTCTACTCCCAGATCATTGAAAGCCATAGATTTTCAGGCTTGACAGAGAAGAGTCCCATAATAAATCATACTCCCCAACTCCAAGATGCGGGGCTAAGTATCTTGCCACCATCTGAGGTTCCTTCGAAATCCAAGACTGTCTGGGAGAATTTTTCTCGCCAAAGCAAGTTTCAGAGGAGTCTCTACCACTATGGGTCTTTTCCTGAAGGATTTCAGTGGGGTGTGTCATCCTCAGCCTACCAAGTGGAAGGTGGCTGGGATGCAGATTGGAAAGGACCAAGTGTGTGGGACACATTTACCCACAAGCCTGGCAGCATCGTGAACAATGGCAATGGGGATGTGGCATGTGACAGCTACCACAAGGTGGAGGAAGACCTCTATATGCTGAGAGCTCTGAGGGTTAAGACCTACAGATTCTCCTTGTCATGGCCCAGGATCTTTCCTGATGGTACAAAGAATTCTCTAAACCAAAAAGGTATAGACTATTACAACAGACTCATTAATAGTCTGCTTCTGTATAATATAACTCCAATGGTGACACTTCACCACTGGGACCTTCCTCAAGCATTACAGGACATCAAGGGCTGGGATAATGTCACAATGATTGACATCTTCAATGAGTACTGTGATTTCTGCTTTGCCACCTTTGGAGACAGAGTGAAATTCTGGATGACCTTCAATGAACCTTATGTCATTGCATGGATTGGGTATGGACTTGGGATGTTTCCCCCTAACATCAAGGACCCAGGTTATGCCCCATACAGGATCACTCACAACCTGATAAAAGCACATGCTAAAGCCTACCACACATACGATGAGAAGTACAGGAAAATCCAGGGTGGCGTGGTATCCATCAGCCTCAATGCTGAGTGGGTGGAGCCAAAAGACATCAACATAGCTCGGGAAGTGGAGGCTGCTGACCGTGCCCTACAGTTTCAACTAGGCTGGTTTGCGCATCCTCTTTTTAAGAATGGCGACTATCCGGATGCCATGAAATGGATAGTGGGCAACAAGAGTGAGCTGCAGGGTTTGCCAAAGTCCCGGCTGCCTGCTTTCACAGAAGAAGAGAAGGCTTATATTCGGGGTACTGCTGATGTGTTCTGCATCAATTCCTACACTACAGTAGTAGTCCACCATGTAACTACCAGGCTCTCTCCACAATCTTATGAGTACGATCAAGACTTAGGCAAAGCCGATATGAGTAACTCTCCTAGCACAGGCATGAAAGAGTTGAGAGCTGTTGCTTGGGGTCTTAGGCGGCTCCTGAACTGGATTAAGGAGGAGTACGGAAACCCAGAGATTTTTATAACAGAAAATGGTGTGGCCACAAATTCCAAGACTACTGTTGATGACACAGAGAGGTTCTTCTTCTATAAAACATACATCGACGAGGCCTTGAAAGGTAAGCAATAAACTCATAACTTGGAACAGAAGGAAATCCTGCAGTCATTTTGTATCTAAATGGCTCAGCACTCAGCTCCAGGAGACACAGACCTACTTCTATAATATCTTCCATGACACACTAGGAATAGCACAATCAGTTCACACCAGAAGCACCTGCAGTACTTTAGATCAGAGTTGCCCTTCCTTCTAAGATTTTAGGTAGTATCACAAAAATTGGTGGGCTAAACTTTGGAGGAGAGAGAAATTAATCTTATGTTCTTGTCCTTTAGCTCACGACCTGGATGGGGTGAATCTGAAAGGATACACTGCATGGTCTCTCCTGGACTCTTTTGAATGGCTCAATGGTTACAGCGTAGGTTTTGGTCTCCACCATGTGGACTTTACTCACCCACAGCGGCCCAGAACTCCAAAGCGCTCAGCCCACTACTACTACGATATCGTGAGGAACAATGGCTTCCCTGAAACTGAGGAAGAAGAGCTGCTGTACGGGTATTTTGATAAAGGCTTTGCCTGGAGCACATCCACAGCATCATATCAGGTGACCGCCTATGTCTTCACAGTTTGGCTTTCTTTGCTGGCACTCTGTCCTATATAATTTCCAGCCTTGAGCCTGAAGCTTCTGGGATAGGCTTCAGACCCCCACAACCCTGCATATGACAAGTGGGTATAGAATATGGGTGGGTGGGTGGGTGGATAGTTGCAGCAAGTCCTTTATTCTTTGAGGAGTGCAATAATTTACTTCTACTATAAGGCACATTTGATTCATTTTGCTACAGTTGCATACATACAGTTGTGTTCAAAATAATAGCAGTCCGACATCACTAACCTGATCAATCACTGTTTTTGGTAGAAATTATATTTCTACATGGCAAATAATTTACTAGTAGGTGTAGTAAAGTAATAGAAACCAACAGATGCAACAGTCATGACATGCATGCTGCTCATTCTATGTAATTGAATAATTAATTGAAAGGGGCGTGTTCAAAATAATAGCAATGTAAAGGTCAATTAGTGAGGTCATTCGTTCTGTGAAAAAACAGGTGTCAATTACAACGAAGGAAGGCAGCAAATGTTCTACATGCTGGTTATAATGAATTTATCTCTGAAATTCTGAGTAACATGGGTTGCTTCAGTCGTTGTTCAGAAGAACAGTGTACCTTGATTAAAAAGTTGATTAGAGAGGGGAAAACATAAAGAAATGCAGAAAATGATAGGCTGCTCAGCTAAAATGATCGCAAATGCTTTAAAATGGCAACCAAAACCTGAAAGACGTGGAAGAAAACGAAAAACTACCATTCGAATGGATCGAAGAATAGCCAAAATGGCAAAGACTCAGCCAATGATCAGCTCCAGGAAGATCAAAGAAGTTCTAAAGTTACCTGTGAGTACTGGTACAATTAGAAGATGCCTGTGTGAAGTCAAGCTATTGGCAAGAAGCCCCGGCAAAATCCCCAAAAAAAGATGCGCTGAAGAAGTTACAATCTGCCAAAGAACACACTGACTGGCCTAAAGAGAAAGGGCGCAACATTTTGTGGACTGATGAAAACAAGATTGTTCTTTTTGGGTCTAGTGGCCGCAGACAGTTCGTCAAATGACTCCCAAACACTGAATTCAAGCCACAGTACACTGTGAAGACAGTGAAGCATGGTGGCGCAAGCATCATGTTATAGGGATGTTTCTCATACTACAGCGTCGGGCCTATTTATCGCATACCAGGGATCATGGATCAGTTTGAATACCTCAGAATACTTGAAGAGGTCATATTGCCTTATGCCAAAGAGGAAATGCCCTTGAAATGGGTGTTTCAACAAGATAACGACCCCAAACACACCAGTAAATGAGCAACATCTTGGTTCCAGACTAACAAGATTGACGTTATGGAGTGGCCAGCCCAATCCCCGGACTTTAATCAAATAGAACTCTTGTGGGATGTCATCAAAAATGCTGTTTCTGAGGCAAAACCAAAAAATGCAAAAGAATTGTGGAATCTAGCCCAATCATCCTGGGCTGGAATACCTGTTCACAGGTGCCAGAAGTTGATCGACTCCATGCAACACTGTGCAGCAGTCCTCAGAAACAGTGGTTATACAACTAAATATTAGTTCAATGATTCAAAGGAAAGCAAAATCTTAAACATTTTTCAGTTTATACAGTGAATGTATAGTATGCGGCAGTCCTGTGGGCAAAAATGCCTTGTTGATGCTAGAGGTCAGAGGAGAATGGGCCGACTGATTCAAGCTGATAGAAGAGCAACTTTGACTGAAATAACCACTCGTTAC